TCTTTGAAAAATTTACAAGTGCTTATTACACCAAATTGAAATCTTGTTAGAACTTGTTAGTGATGTACATGAAGTAGTATCACAGAGAGTCGAGATAGTCAAAATTTTGAAAGCGCGCACGCGCTATTTATAATTGCACGCGTGTTACAACTTTGCACTCGTGTTGCACGAGAATGCACTCGTTTTCAGCCAATCAGAAGCGCGTAATTTTTTCATGTACATATTACTCCGGCAGCATGTGTACTGTATCCAGGCCTTCCACGACTTAGCGTTGAGATCGTAAATTGGCGCTGGATAAAAAGTCATATCGCAAATCCAGTTCTCCAATATTTCAGTTACAACATCTCATTTATTCGTTATACATTTATGAAGACTTTCTCTGAGAACAAGGGGATTAGTACTGAGAAATCATAGACTTACTCAGAAGTCACATTAGCTGAATTTTTCCCTCTCACTGTTACTCGTTTTCATTTCTAGTAAAACTCAGTGGTTTTTTTTTTACTTTAGAAAAGTCCCGTCTCTGTTGGAATACTTCAGCTACCTGTTCCATTACAGCACAATTCTTGCAGGACCAGTCTGCACGTTCAAGGAATTTAACGATTTTATCGATGGCTCAGATATTATACCTAAGGTATTATATTGTAAACACTTGAAAAAAATTAAATATTCTTTGCCTCACTGATCAAAGGCAAAAGACGAAGCAACAAAATTACAAAAGCGCAAGAAAAAGTCAATCATTTCAAATGCGCGGACGAACTTGTAGATTTTGACATAACCGTAGAATCGCACTCATTTTGTTTCTTTTTCCTTTAATTTTAGAAGCCTGGCGAAAAGGAACCCTCACCTTTGGTAAGATAGTTTTGTCGTTTTCATTTCAAAATTTCACATGACTTGAAGCACGCGCATTTATTCCTTTGTGTGTTTCTTGTCACTCTGCTTCAGATGGATGTTTTAAAGAAAATGTTGTCTGGTTTCTTGTGTGTGGTTATTTTATTCCTGACTGGGGGACATTATCCGATATCTAAAAATGCAGGTAAGGTGGTTAGTTTGTAGGATTGTCAGATGTTCAATCCTTATGGGCATATGTGAGTCAGTGTACTTTTTCAGTTTAGGTCGGTCAGCGAGTCGGTAGGCTGGCTATTTGGTCAGTTAATGGGTCATGCGGTAGGGCAGCCAGTTAGTACAGTCATTCAATCCATCAACTAGTCGGGTAGTAATTCAGTCAGTTTGTCTGTCAGTCAGTCAGTCAATCATTGAGTCTTTCAGTCATTAAGTCAGTCAGGCATTCAGTCCGTCAGTAAGTCAGCCATTCATTCATTCATTCAGTCAGTCAGTTTGTCTGTCAGTTAATCAGTTAGTCAGTCAGTCAGACATTCAGTCCCTCCGTCTTTCAGACAGTTAGTCCGTCCGTCAGTCAGTCTGTCAGTCAGTAAGTTAGTGAGTGAGAAAGTTATTCAGTCAGTAAATCAGTCAGTCCGTCAATCAATCTGTCAGTCAGTAAGTTTGTGAGTCAGTCAGTCAATAAGTCAGTCTGTTAGTCAGTCACCTAGTCAGTCAGTCACCTAGTCAGTCAGCCAGTCACCTAGTCAGTCAGCCAGTCACCTAGTCAGTCAGCCAGTCACCTAGTCAGTCAGCCAGTCAATCAGTTAGTCAGTCAGTAAGGTAGCCACTCACTCAATCAGCTGATCAGTCAGTCTCCAGTCAGTCATTCAGTCAGACAGTCAGGTAGCGCAACGAGCTATGTACTATTTCAATTTATAGCTACTGTAAAAAAATCTTTTGTCTTTAAAATTTGAATCATCAGATCCCAAGTTTATAGCATCTGAACCATTCTACTGGAGAGTTATATACGGCTGGATTAGTGGTACGGTTGCTAAGCTGAGATACTACTTTGCCTTTAAAGTGGGTAAGTGATCGACTTTACCTTTACCAGTCTTCACTGTCACATCTTGTTTTCTTCCTCCCATCCACTTTTCTCTTTCTTTCAGTTCCTTCTTCTATTCATTTTTCATCCCTTTTGTCCTTGTCTTTTTTCCTGGCTTCTTTACTTGTCATTGCGTGGTGCAAACACAGAAATTTTAGTGTTATTATTACTGATTTCTCATGGAATATTTCAGCGGAGGCCGTGAATAACATGGGAGGACTGGGCTTTAATGGTTACGACGAAAATGGAAAAGCCAAATGGAATCGAGTCACTAATGCTAATATTCTTAAAATCGAGGTACGATGTTTCTTTTTTTTGGCAAATGGAGAGTACTAAGTTAGTTTAATATAGCTAACGTGGTTAAACTGAAATATACTTTAGTCAAAATAAGTAAAGTTAGCCATCAAGCTTAGTGGCTCATTTGACCGGAGGCACGAGAATATTGCCACTCGCCCCCCCCCCCCCCCTGGAGGGGATGCCAGTTCGTCGTGGGCTACCCTCCCCCCCCTCCCCGTACGAATTTCGTTAGCTTCCTCTAGAAATACGTCGATATCCTTTTTCCAAAACCTAATCCGGCGAGGCGCTGTGGGAGAAAAGGGTTTTGTCCAAAAACACATTGAAATGAGCTGGCCTGGGTCTTGAACCGAGACCACTCCTTAGGAATTCCGGCGTACTTGGCATGATGCCACCGACAAGTGAATTTCTAAATCTGCCGTTTTGATTCTCTTCTAGTTCGCCACTAGTATGAAAATGATGATGGACAACTGGAATATTTCCTCTGCACTCTGGCTGAGAAGGTTAGACATTTTACACAATTTTGTTCCACAGAGTGGTTAACTTGAGGTTGACTGCGCTTAGGGGTACTAGAGAGAGGAGTGTGCAAAAACTCAGGGTCCCCTCCCACCATACATAAGTTAGGCACTACTGCGAACTAAACTAAGAAACCACAAGTTGGTTGTTACGTGTTTTAAACACCGGGAATTCATTTAATGTTTAGCATTTCTGATGCGGAGTTTATTGAACGTCGCTTATTCGAGAGCGGGACGTTTATCTTAAATCACTAATAACAATTACCCGGTAAATCACTTGAAAATATTATGGAAAACTTTGTTTAAAGCTATTACTTTCCAAGGATTGTGTAGATTACTGAGAGGTGAATTACTTGTTATCGTATTTCTTTATGATATTCGAATTCAAGTTCTTTTCATCTAGTTGCGTGCAGTTTTTATTCGAGGGCGGCGTTTATTGGTGAAGAACCGGTCATTCTGGTCATTATTTGGCGCCAGACGGGGTCGGAGAATTTTGGCAGTGTTACAAAAAATGTACCTGATCGCCCTATTATGTACTGTAGTTTCTCATGATTTCCTCCTTCCCCCCCCCCCCTTCATTGGCATACAAATTTCTAAAACCATGTGATCCCGCAAAATCCTCTGACCGACCCCCCTCCGGCGATAAATTTTGACAGGTCCCTAATTGGCTCCTATCCGCTGCGTTTAATTAAGTCTACATTATTTCCTAAATACTCTTTGTCAGATATCTTAACTGATAACACTGGAAAAAAAAACCGAAGAGGATTTTTCTCACAATAATCAATCTTTTCAGGACAGTTTACGAACGAGTCACCCACCACAGAACACTTGCTGTTTTTATCACGTCCTCAGTCTGGCATGGGTTCTATCCGGGATACTACATGATGTTTCTGACATTTGGACTTATGCTAGAAGCGGGAAGAATGGTAACTAACGTCGCGTTAATTTAATTTGGAAAAGATCTCTAAAAAAACATGTTACATCTCTGCTTCTGGTCAATCGGTAGGAAAAAGATTAGTTAATCTTAATTTGAACAGGCATCGAAGAAGGTAAAGGATGCCTTATTATTAGTCGTGTGAATTAACCTAACAGCTTGCTTCTTCAGATCGTTTTTTTTCAATGCCCAACTCGCTTCTTTGGCTCTCTTCTTGTATGTGTTTAGGGTCGTCGTGTCATAAGGCCATATTTCCAGAAAACACGTGCTTTGACTATTATTTATGACGTGATCACATGTATTGCAACCGGCCTGTGCATGGCGGAAGGAGGTGTTCCATTTCAGCTTTTGGAACTACGCTTGAGTATCGACTACTGGAGGTAGGTATGCTGTGAAAGTAGGTTTACTGTGGGAATGGTGGTTGGGAACGAGAATACTCTGAAGGTGGGTATTCTGTAGAAACCCCAGCCTTTCAGACTTGAACGCTTTAAAAATAAGTAAATCAAAGTTTAATCCTCAAAGTAAACAAACTTTCCTTCGAAAAGAGCAATTATTCAGAGAATTTCTATCCAGGGAGACCTAATATTTTCCTTTTTCTTGTGGCTTTGGGGTGGTTTTATTCCTTTACAATTATTGAATTCAATCTTCTCTGTTCTGGGTTTCACTTGGCTGTTATATGAAAGACGAGAATAAAAGACTTGTGACAGGGCTGGCAAACGTGCAAAATTTACACAAATGTACATGCCATAAAATTTCTGGCCCAAGATTGGCTGGAATTGTTGCATAGTACTTCTTTCGTGCGGTAGACTACGGCGAGGTTCGTCGCACAAGCAAGAAAAATTCAATATAAAAAAAAAAAAAAAAAAGATACTGGAATTTGCTTAAAGGAGAATGTTTTACACCCAGATTGAGAGTCAAAAGAGAAGCGTTCTTAAAATGTCATATCTTTCTTGTAGGTCCTTGTACTTTTATGCCCATATTTGGTGTCTGTTGCAAATCCTTGTCTGTCGGGGGGTAGGAAAGCGCATGTACACAAGACACGTGGAGACTCGACCCATGAGGCCAGAGTCTAAGGAAGAGAATAAGAACTGGATTTACAAACTGGAACACAGAGGGGCAAGCGCGGAAATAAATCAGGACAAAAAACTTAAACTCAACTGATTAAAATAAATTAGGTTTAAACCGCGGGAGAACTGAGAGTAAATATTCGTGTTCTATAAAAAAAACGGAAAATAGGAAATATGTATCTCCCCAAAACTATTTCCTTTGAAAAAATATTTCTCCTTTTCTTCTGTGAAACGTCGTCCTAATAAATGAATCGAGTTTTCTGGTCCATTTTTTTTTAATTTGAGTGGGAAACTTCACAAATGTAAAACGGGTTTCGATGAGTTGTTGAGATATCAAGTTCTGTGGACTTTCATTTCGCCCTCGGCTTGCCATCCGCTCAGATTATGGGGAATGTACTGACGGCTATGAAGGAAACGAAGGCTCTCATTTGCTGGGATGCAATCGTCCTTGAGTAGCCGCAGTAACATATCAATGGCTTGTTTGAGGCGGCAAGGCGAGGGAGCGTAATTGCTTGTAGAAATGAGAGCTTGACTACTGTGAAGGAGTGACGGTCACAGCCGAGAAGATAGTTTGATTTTATCAATTTAGTTTATAATGCGAATTGCCGCCGTTAGGAGTACCAAAGCTGACGTTTCGAGCGTTATTCGCTCTGACGCTTCAAAGTTCCTTTAAAAAACTCACAGTCGAGAAGAGCCTGGTTACTAGTTCAAGTTCAATTTGTCTCCAGTTTCCCTTCGCATTCTCTCGGTGAAGATGGCGGTAAGATTGTTTCCAAAACTTGTTCTCTTCGGGGATTCCTTAACTCAGGTAAGTTTGAAATTATTTTATATCAGTTTAGGAACCTCCGTTTTACTGAAGTGTGTAAAAATCTTCCACTGCTGGTCTTTAAATGCAGTCACTTCACGTTATCACCACGTCACGAGTTGGCAACCTGCTAACAAATATCGCGGTGTTGCGTTTTTCTTCACATAAAAGACTCGGCACCCAGTGGTACGGTACCATGATGGTGAGCGCATTGTATTGTCGATCAGAGATACAATATTTTCATACAATCCCATACTTCAATCTGCAAACACTTTCTTCTGAAAAGAAAACATTGGCGAAATTTGGAGACTACCGTAAAGTTTGTGATCCCAAGATACGATTGTTTATTACTTCTTCCCTCTTACAGCGTCACATTTCCTTATTAAGTAGTGATGAGAACTTGCTGTTAGATCAAGACGACAACTTTCACCTGATAAGTTTGAGTATTCTCATAACTGTTTGGTGCATGATGTATGGATATTAAAAGAAGAAGATACATGTTAATCACTTCAAGGAGTTTAAGGGTTAAACGTTTGTTAGTGAGGAGTTTATTCTTGTCTGCCCCTCATCCTTAGAGAAGGCTGATTTCCAAGGTATGGCCACTCTTCCCCACCGATAAGACCCTCAATTTACATAAATTTTTACTTGCAAAATGGCTTCAGAATTCTATGAAAAACCTGCTTTTTAGCCTACCCTCCCTTTTCCCATATCTCCACACCCCACCCCCTCCCATTCAGTCTCTCTTTCTTTCCAAGATGCGGATTTATCTTTGAAAAGTTTCCTGGTAAAGATGTCATGCAAGATTTCACCAAACACTTTGCATTCTTGATATAAAGATGTAACTTTGCACTTCTAACAGCAATCTTTTAGTGAGGGAGGCTGGGGAGCAACACTGGCAGATTATTATCAAAGGTTTGTTTACAAAGAAATAAAGGGAGACTTTTTTTTGTTTTGTCTGAATAGTGAGGGAAAAAAAAAACTTTGATTCCTCTCAAAGAATCAAACCCTCTGCACTCTGACGCTTTACTGCTGAGTTACAGAGAACAAGGTTCATAAACGACATAGGTCTTGATACTGCAAGGATCAGGATCAAAGTTTTGCATGAGTTAAAAAGAATAGGAAAGAGGCTACATTTTTTTTGGTGGCGTTTTGAAAATAAAAGAAGGTTTTAATTCTGAGAGGGTCAATTTATACAATGAAATAGTGGGGCTTAGCTAATTAAGCTTTTACACCCTAAGATCAGTATGCATATTCTCCATACTGTTCTCTACACATTTCCTAAGATGCCAACATGGAGAATTTGTCTAACAATCAAGAGCTTCTTTAGTCAGTAATCAGCTCCTTTATACTCCTGACCTCAATGTTTGATTCAGGTGTTATATGGTGAGGAGAAATTAGATGCCAGTCACTCTTAGGGGTTTAAAGAAAAAGATCAGTAGGGTGAGAGGTCTAAATTGGGTGGAACAGCCTCCTTAACCCTTTAACTCCCAGATCAAATTTGTAACTCTCCTTACTGTCAACCATACAATTCTCATGATGTTGGTGCAGAGAATTTAGTATTGGATCCACTAATTATCCCTAAATTGATATTTTTCTTAGTTCTCATTACTTATCTGGTTGATATTGTATTGATATTGTAAGGAGAAAATCTGTCTTGGTCACTTATGGGAGTTAAAGGGTTTACACTTTCACCCCTAAGAGTGACTGACATCTAATTTCTCCCAACAATATCACCCCTGAATCACACATAAAGAGCACAAGAATAAAGGTAACAATCTCCAACTGAAAAAGCTCATGAATGTTAAATATATTCTCTTTGTCAGCATGTTAAGAAATGTATAGAGAACAGTATGGAGAATATGCATACTGATGTTAGGGTGAAAAGGTTTAACATCCTAGTACCCCTGAGAATTGTTTTGGGAATGTTTAAGAAATAATGCTAAGAATTATGAATTATTGGTACATGAAAATTTCACTCTACCAAACAGCAGTTTGAGCAGTTTTGTGTTAGAAGGTGCATTATCTAAATTGAATCATAAGGGTTATAGGAATAAAGGGAATGATCACAAACTAAAAAAGGCTCTTGATTGTTCAACAAACTCTCCTTATCTGCACTTCAGGAGATGTATAGAGAACAGTATAGAGAATGTGTATACTGATGTTAGGGTGTAAAGGGTAAAAAATTTCTAAATGTACAACTATTCCTTACAGTCTTTATAGCAGAGCTCGCAGAGCGTAGCCCTATAATTATACAAAATAGTGGTAACCCATCAAGCCGAAGAAATTTGGATGTAGAACCGTATGACCGTACAACCGTATGACTGTAAGAGATGCTACTTTTAACATGCATGGTCAACTGTACCGCGGGCATGCCAACACCACAGCTTTGTTCAGTAGTCCAGTGGTCAGTGCACTTGGCTCTGAGTCAGATGACCCGGGTTCTAGTCCTGGCCGGGGCAAGGCGTTGTGCTCTTGAGACACGAGGAAAAAAAAAATGCAAGCTCCGCTTTTAGGCTTGGCTAAATCTATGTATTACTGGAACCCATAGCTAAGTATTACTATGCTAATTTTTGTAATCATGTGTTGTGACATCTCATCCACATTCAGTAAATTGAATAGAAATTTTATTTGTTCCTGAGTTTTGTTTCATTTTTTATCAACAGGAAATGTGATGTTCTTAATCGAGGATTCAGTGGTTACACATCAGCATATAACAAGTTCATTCTGCCCAAAGTCCTTCAGAGTGACAATAATCCCAAGGGTAGTGCTGTGGCGGCAATTGTGCTACTTGGTTCAAATGATGCTGTCTGCAATGAGACAGACCCACGGGGACTTACTGTAGAACAGTATGCTACAAACTTAATGGACATCTTGACACAATTCATGAATGATGGCATGGAAGCAAGTCAACTAGTTTTATTGACACCACCAGCAGTAGCAGATGATAAGTACAAGGAATGTTGTGCAGAACGTGGTAAGTAACTGTTTTTATTATCCAGCTGCACTAAGTAGATTACAAATAATGCCCAAGTCAAGAACTAAGATACAGTGCTATTGGATGGTTGGTTATTTTGTACTGTTAAAAAAAAACCTGTTTGACTCTTTCTCTCCTATGAGTGATCAAGACAGAATTTCTCTTTATAGTATCAATATAATGTCAAGCAGTTCAGTGACAAGAGTAAAGAAAACTATCAGTTAGGGGATTATTGGTTGATCCAAGACTAAATTCCCTGAACTAACATCATGAGAAGGGTATGGCAGGCAGTGAGGAGAATTACTCTCAAGATCTTGGAAGTGAAAGGGTGAACTGTTTGTATTTTAACTCAGCCTACTTGGTTGTCAAAATGCGGCATAACTTGTAAAAATACTCCATGATACTACACACCAAAAGATCTAACAAGATAGATATACATTTGTTAAGTATATATGACTTGTCTGACTACAAAAAAATTACAAAGGTCACAGATTGGCCCTTTGTAATGGATGAAAAGTCACCCTTGATTTCTTCTCAATCGTTACTACCATGACTCATTAAAGCATTTGCAGGTGCTACAGATTCACAGAAGCTAGCTGCTGTGATTCTGCATTGTGTTACAGTGAAGTCAAGCTGCCCTCAGACCTCTTTTCTTAGACTCCAGTTTTAAGGTTGTTCTTAATGATCTCATTTGAAATGAAGAAGGAAATGGTGTGGTGTCTTAAGGGGTAAACCCTTTGCACCCCAACATCAGTATACATATTCTCCATACTGTTCTCTATACATTTCCTAAGATGCTAACAAGGAGAATTTGTTGAACAATCAAAAAGTTTTTAGTTGGTGATCATTTTCCTTATTCTCAAGACCATATTGTTAGAGATAGGGCTGAGATTGTAAGGAGAAACTAGATGCCAGTCACTCTTCAGGGTTTAAGAAATGTCCTCAATGGGGAAATATAATATATAATTAAAAAACATTTTTATTTTTATTTTATGATTGTAACTAAGCAGAGATTCTCTTCTATTACACAAACATCAATTAAATACCAAGTGAGTTTTAGGGCAAAAAACATGATATCTTCTTGTGTGAAGATAACATGACTTATTCACTTGTGAAAGGATCATTGTTGCTGTGGTTACATAAAATAATTAGGTCTTTTTAATGCAGTGTCTTTGATAGCAGTGCCTTCATAAGTATTTCATTGATGTTTATATAATAAATAGAATATTACATGGCCACTTAGAGATACAAAGTTTCACTTCTTGTGTTTGCTCTCTTGTGAAAAATTTTTCAACGCTGGAAGAGAAATTTCTCATATCCACGCCATGTGATATCCTCTATCTATCAAAAGGGGAAACAGATGGAAATCTTTTCATCACACTTCCTCTGCTATTCTATGTAGTCGGTCATTTTATTGAACTCTTTCTTTTCTTACTTTTGAGAGAAATTCTTTGATTCTGAACCTGTGAGTATCTTTGGTGGAGATTGTTGACCACGCATGAATTATTAATCCAATGATTGTCAATTTTCTCTACAAGATGTACCAGTAAGCCTTTGGGATGCCCGGGTAAAACCTTTTGCTGAAAAATGCGTTGATGTGGGAAAAAAGCTTGGAGTGGAGGTTGTCGATCTTTACAAGTTATTCCATGAACAGCCAGTAAGTTTGGATGTTAATCTGTAGATTTTATCAACTTGTGCCGATAAGAAGTATGAAATACACTTTCAACAAGGTTTAAGGGTGCTGATGATCATAGTATTAACTACTGAAATTTTTCATCCACGGCAATAACTGATTACCACCCACTATTACCACCCACCCTAAATTCCATGCAGCCCAAATCTTAACAAAAGGCTTCCTCTTTGTCTGCAGGCATCTGGTTTTTAGATCTTTGGGCTCCAAGCTCAAAGTTTTTCCTGATAACTTAGTTATCAGGAAAAGAGAGAGAAATAGATCTTGCATCAAAAGTTCCTTTTGGGCATTTCTCTCCAACCCCCAACCCCCCCTTTCCATTATCATCTGTCCTCGCAATCTAAAACTAAAAATCTTTGAATTTTTAGAACTGGGAGTCTTTTGTAAGTGATGGCCTACATTTTTCAAAAGAGGGAAACCAGTTTGTGGCACAGCAAGTGATTCCAGTGCTGGATACCAAGTTAGGACACTTGCCTATGATATTTCCTGACTGGAAGGATGTAGACCCAAAGCATCCAGATAAATACTTTTGTAATAATTAGCACCTTGGGTTAATTACCTTTATTTACTGACCAAAACAAACAATTATTAAAAATATAAAAGCATAGATCGTAAGTAAAAAACCACACCAAATGCGTGCGTAATCCAGTGTATCAATTATCAAATATTTAAGTTAACTGTTATGGAGACAAAGTTTAATAATTGTAATTGTGCATTACATCCAAATAGACATTGTGTGAATCAAATTTGTATATTTTTATTATAATAAATATGACACACTTCTACAAGGGATGTTTACAAGCTTAATGTACAGTTCATTCATGTTCTTTGGATAGCTCTGCCTGGAGTATCCTGGTGGGTGGAATTTCAAGCTCTTGATTTACCTTGTAGGATAACAAGAACATTAATTACAAAAAATATATAACATCTTTTCTTTTCATGCACTTTAAGCTATCAACATTGCTGATCTTAACAGTACGCAGGAAACATGTCATGTACAGCTGTTTGCAGAAAGGTTTTCGGAAAAAATGCAAGTGCACGCATCAACCTTAAAAGGCAGTGTGACTAGTTTTCAGGTCCAGTTCCTTGATGTCAGGATTTCAGGGAACACAACATTGTGAAGAAGAAGTGTAACAGGTTTGATGAATTTTTTTGTTTGCAAGATCAACTTTTAATTCTAAACTTGATGAAAAAAAGGACACACTCATTGACCCTAATGAACACCGAAAATGATGTAAACTCATGGAGAGCAAACTCTAGGTTACCTTAAGAAACAATTTGTACAAGGCAATATTTTATTGCTTTGTTCCTCTTGTATTCATGAGTATATCAGTATTTACCCTTGTCCATTAGTCCTTTAGCCCATATTTATTTCTGTAACTCATTTACAACAATTGATTTCAAGACACCTGGAATACCTTTCAAGAGTGTACTTTGTCCTTTTTGATGCAAACAGCTGTACGAACTCAGTAATGGCCTAGCTCACCAAATAATGGGTATAGAATGGGAATATGAATGGGAACAGGAATGGGAGTGGGAATGAGAGTGAAAATAGGGTGAGAATGGGAACAGGGGTGAGAATAAGAGTGGGAAGAGAATGGGAACAAGTGGGAATGAGATTGGGAACAGGAAAGGGAATGAGTGTGAAGAGAATGGGAACAGGAGTGGGAATGAGAGTAAGAAGGAAATGGGAACAGGAGTGGGAATGAGAGTGAGAGGATAATGGGAATGGGAACAGGAGTGGGAATGAGATTGAGATGAGAATGGGAGCAGGAGTGGGAATGAGAGTGAGAAGAGAATGGGAACAGGAGTGGGAATGAGAAGAGAATGGGAATGGGAACAGGAGTGCAAATGAGAGTGAGAAGAGAATGGGAATGGGAACAGGAATGGGAGTGGGAATGAGAATGAGAATGAGAAGAGAATGGCAATGGGAACAGGAACAGGAGTGGAAATGAGAGTGAGAAGAGAATGGGAATGGGAACAGGAGTGGGAATGAGAATGAGAAGAGAATGGGAATGGGAACAGGAGTGGGAACAAAAATGAAAAGAGAATGGGAATGGGAACAGGAGTGGGAATGAGAGTGAGAAGAGAATGGGAATGGGAACCACTGGGATTGAGAATGGGAACATTGTTAACTGTCTCAAACTCTTCTGCGAGTTATCTTTTTAAAATGTTTCCTCACTGCTGACTAATCATGTTTCTCCTAACTTTGACTATAAGTTACTAATACTATCAATAATCATGGTGTAGTCATATTCTCTCACCCATTAAGAAAGACAACAAGAAACAATTCCTTGTGGTATTTCTTAACAGAAGAGAATTTAATGAGACTCAAGTGTGGTTCCAAATCAATGTGTCAAGCTCAGCTGAGAAATAATAAACTTACTCTGGAGTTCACATACTGATGCAGCAACATCCTTAGCTCTGCATTCTGGAAACAAATATCAACCTCAATACATTGTTCACTTATTGTTTACCAGACAAGATGTTTCCAAGCTACAGTGTGTGTGGCTATATGCAAAACCAAAATAATTTGTAGGGATTGTAGCTAAGGAATTAGGCTGCCAGCTGAAATATCAAGTGAGCCAGCTTGAAGATAGTATTTTAAGTGTTTAGTCTAAAAAGTGCATGTTTTGTTTAACTGAGCACTCCAGTCCAAAATCCAGCTGGCAATTGCTGTTTTATCATCTGGCACATTTCACCGGCAGCTGGCACTTAGCAACAACCCTGTTTGTATCTCAGTAACAAACATTATTCTAAATGCTGAAATAACTAACTCTTTGAAAATGGTGCATCAGGTATTAATTTAGTATAATGATTGTGAAGTGCAGAAACTGATAAAATATCCCATGCTTTACAAAAGGTTGGTAAAAGTTTATAAGCCAACAAATGTTATAACATAGCTAGTAAATTTGTCTAATCAAATTCAATTGCCCGAGTGTGCTTCATATTCCTATTGTGCACACTCATGACGACAGCAAACAAATCCCTTGAGAAAAAAATTTTCCTTTGGGTTGAAAATGTTATAAAACAATTGGTTCATACATCAGCTGTGCGTTCATCAAGATGTGAAGCACTTGGGAAGTTTGGAGAGCACTCAAGAAGCTAGAGATGCCTCGAGCAACTCTTACGCATCTTTCATGCTCTCCAAACTTCCTGCGTGCTTCATATCTTGATGAATGCATGCTGACATATGAACCAATTGTTGAGTGCATTTCATATTCCACTCTGAAAAAAAAATTGCACCAGCTATTCTAAATACTTGTGGTTCAATTTTCAGCATGAAGGCATGCTACTGATGATCCTAGTACCCCCTACTAAGTATCACAGTCTCACTACTCAAAATCTTTTTGACAACCCTGTTTGGTACAATATTGCACAGAACATTGCACAAAATATCTCTTCCAAATCTGGTATAACTGTACCATCTCTTGCTCACCTGCTGTTTGAGGGCATCTGTTTCTTGTATCAGAGCCGCCCTCTCTGTCAGCACTGCCAAATACTTTTCAAATCCATCTAACAAAGCTGTCCAAACTCGCTCTTTCTTTACATCTATTACTGAAGCCATATTTTGCCAGAAACTTTCATCAAGCCTGTAAAATAGCAAAGGTATTTTTAATTTTGAGCTACATTTTCAGCTGTCAAAAAAGAAATTGAAATGTTTTTTTAACAATCATATACTTACATGGTCACTTTTCCAATTCCAGCTCCCACCTTTAAACTTTGCCGCTTAGCTTCCCTAAAGGGAAATACAATCACACAAGGTTGAGATGTGATTTTCCGTGAAAAAACCCTTAACTTTAACACTCCAAATAACAATCTGAAAGTAAAAATCTTCTCCCTATGATATCCTTACATTATCCAGCAAACATGTAATGAGAATGTTCAATTGTATCAGGTAGAAGTTGATATCTTGATTTAACACCAAATTCTCATAACTAATTTACAAGGAAATGTGTAGCAGCTAGAGGGGAGAATTAACAATCAGATCTTGGGAGTTAAAGGGTTAACCAGACAGTTAAAAATTAATAAGGAGAAATATCAATGAGAGGATTTTGTTTTAGTTGTGACAACTCCAAATTCTCAGAACTAACCAAAAAGAGATTTTTGCTTATCTGTAGCATGAAGTAGTCTTCAGATCTTGGGAATTTGAGGTTTTAGTTTCCCTCAGCACAAAAACAGCTTTCAAGCTTTACATAAATTTACTTACTTCTGTGGTTGGCGGTTGTCTTGCACAAATTTTCTTAAAGCTTTTGCAACTTCATTTGGGTGAATAAGGTTCTTCATTTCTGTAGGAACAAATGCTTTTTTTTAACAAAAAATCATTTCATTTTTACAGGACAAAGGAAAATGAATTTTAGCCATGATTAAATCTGATGTTGTGCCAAGAATCATAACTGAGATAAATAGACAAATATTTTGAATAGCATCAAATTTCACCTCACAATATCACCCCTAAACCACACACTAGGATTGTGAGAATGAAGAAAATGGTCAACTAACTAAAAGAAGCTCTTAATCATTGAACAAATTCTCCTTGTTAGCATCTTGGGAAATGTACGGAGAACGGTAATCAGAAATTATGTAAACTGACCTGCCCTTGACGAAGGAGAAAGTTCACGCAAGTCTTACCTGACAAATGCGCTTTGACAGATGATGAATCGCTCGCCTTCTCGTCTACACTCAACACTACAGATCCATCTTCATCTTCCTTTTCTCTTTCATCCATTTTGCCAGCTGTTTCTTCAATGGTTGCCTTCTCTTCTGTCATCTCATCATCCTTAGTTCCTCTCTCGCTCCCTTCTGGTGCTTGTTCACTCTCTCCATGACCAAGGAAGTAGTTTGACAGCAGATAGATGTCATCCTCTGTATCTACACCCAGTGCCTTCAAAATGAAATAAAAAGATTAATTAAACAAGGTCAAACCTGGCAAGGATAATTAAAGGAGTCACTGTTACATGAACATCAACATACAGTATGGTAACCACTCAAAAGTAAAGGGGTAAGTTTCTAAAGAAACTGTGGTGCTGCGTTGGTGGGAGAGTATAGCAGGTAATTTAGTGTTAACAACTGAGTTGAAAAACGTAAATTAGCCACCGTAAAGGGTAAAAAAGCTGACATTTCCAGCATTAGCCCTTCGTCAGAGCGATTGATTGCATCACTCCAAACTCAGTCCTTAACTCTTGAACCTTGATTCTTGAGAGCTCTGAGAATTGAGGCTCAAGTCAAGTTTCCAATGTTCAAGACAAGCTTTGAGATCATTGAGACAGAAAAGAAAGACGTTTTGTGCCATTTGCTTTTCTTATGACTACAAGCTTCCTTTCTTTAAATGAATTCACAGGATAAAAACAATTACAGCGTGCACCATGCCCAATGCAGTGACAAGTAGCTTTATCCCAGAAGCCATTTTATAAAATTTGAATATTGAAGGGAATGAATAAGTGCTGGTAATGGTAATTACAAAAAATATTTGTAACTATGTAATTATATAACAAGTGACTAGTAACAGTATGTGGCTGATTTTAATTTTGCATTTCACTGTGCAGTGTAAGTTTTTAAAGGCTAGGAAAAAATGCAATAGAGCAACAACAATAATATTCCAAATTATTCTTTTCAAGCAATAACAAATACTTACTGCAAAGATGGCATCAAGCTTCATCAGAGATTGTTCATCTTTCTCAAGAGGAGCAAGTAGTTTGGTTAGTTTGGACTCTACAAGAAATCCCTACAATTTGTAAAAATAGCAAAAGATAAATGACAAAAATATATTATTAATGATATAAAAATACATCATTTATACTTTATAAGTTATTGGTTAAATTGCTTTTGTGATTATAGAGGTAAGTGCGCTCTGATTGGTAGAGGATTGCTTCATATCTTGCTATAATCACTTTGCACTGGGTGATTATAGCTGGAATGCCAAATTTCAAGATTGTTGCTCTTGTTCTGTCAATTTTACCAAGGAATTGATGAAACTGATAGAACAAAATTCAATTACGTAGAGTGCAAAAGATGCTATTGAAATAATTTAGCATAACACTTTTCAAAAGAAAGATATAAAGTTTTTGCTGACTGATTACAATAGACCTGTTGAATTTGAGAGGCAACTGGCTGCTTATCTCTACATGAGTAATCAAAACATAATCATAACAGAATGGTTTTAACAACAAAAAACAAATTTACAACAGAATTCATGTGCACCTGGGCAATTATACTCAAACAGTTACTTATAATATTGTTAAATATGTTTGTAACAGTAAGTGTTTGACTCACAGCTTCATCACAGATGAGTTCCAATACAGCTTTGATGGTTTTAGCAGACAATTTCTTTCCTGCCATCTGTCTCTCAAGCTTGCCACCAACTGAACTCTTATCAATATCTTCCTCTCCATCATCTGTCCCAACTGAAATACAGTTGATCACACAAAGCAACTTACAATCACTATTGAACATTGCATTAACTCTGTTATACATAAATTACATTTCTTCAATTTTCCACACCTATTAATTTACTTGTAGAGTGAACAATAATCAACGGAGACAAAAAATAGGAGATCTGTAAACAGACAAGTTGAGTGAGGTGATAGTTTGGGAGTATCTGATTTCAAACCTTACAATTAAAGACTGGAAGTTTTTGGTAATGTAACAGCAATTAAGACTAATAAAATTGGACTAAAAATTGAGACCTTTCCAATTGTCCGGTGAGGGTAGCAAATGGGGGAGGGGGAGAGGGGGAGGAGGTTCTAATCCCATTTTGCTCACAAATTTTAAGAACAATTATCACATCACATAAAAGAGAAAACCTAAAATATGTCCTCTTGTGTACAAAGGTTTCAGAGAAATCTTGAGGTTTTCAAGAAATGCATGAAAAAAATTCACCAGTCACATATATTTCAGGAGGCAAATCAAGTCTCAGACTGGTTCATAAATTTTTGAATCACACTTGTCCTTCTATTAAATTTACACTTCAATATTAATTTTAGCCTTAACCACCCATCATGTGTAACCCTAGAATTGCTTTTGAGTGCTCACCTCCTGACATGATCTCATGAGCCATCTGTGTTGCAGACATCTTTTGCTCTTTACTTCCATAAGTCTGTTCTGCAGTCCTGGGAGTGTCCATGAAATCTCTAAAATGAGAAACAAAATTGAATTCATACCACTACTACAAAACAGTGCTTGATAGCATAGCCCGATCATCTGGGAGAGAATAGTCCTGAGAAGAACTGTTGTCAGAGGTGCATGGTGAATGATGTTTTGACAACCTGAGCTGAAGTCATCATCAGAGTCAAGTGAGAAATTGTTGTCAAATGAGTCTTAGAAGTCCAGTTCTTGCACACTGATTGGTCAGTTTGACATGATGCTATTGGCTAAAAGTCTTAAGTGTACAGAGCACATAGGTTGTAATTGGTCAGTTTCAATCTGTTGCTAATGTTAGGCTGTTCTGTTCAGTTCATTTGTGGTGTAAATGCTGTGAATAAGTTGTTTGTCTTTTTTATGGTGTGTTTGTATAGTAGTCACTGTTTGACAATAAATGGTTAAATCTATGAGCAACAGGGGACTCCCTGCCGAAGAGTAGTCTGTTTTAACAATCTAAGTGGAACCCTCATCACTCACTCCCAAACAGACAATCAAACTACTTATTAATCAAAAAAAATGTACAGTAGTTCACCAAACTCAAATCAGATGTGGATTAACTGGTTTGACATTTGCATTGATGACACTTCATAATAGTCACACAGTCATGTGACTGTACTTACAGATTAGGTGGCTCCCAAGGCAGACCCAATTGATGTTCATGAATAATTCTGTCTGCCTCCAGCACACTGTGCACCAGTTCCCTGACTTGCTCCTCGTTCATGGCCCACACATCCTGAAACTTCTTTTGATCTGTTGTCTGAAAATGTCTACAAAATACCGGTAAAAATTGAATTCTGATCCATAAAAAAATCCTATAAAGTGCATGTCATAGGATATGCCCCTCACAACTACAGATTGAGAGAAAAAACCTCCAATACTTACCTTGACTTTTTTTGTAGTTCTCTAAACTGTTCTGTGATTCTTTTGTAATCGTCTGTTAAGCTTTGATTGTCCTCTCTGGTAAACCAACAGTAATTACCAAATTATGGATTGAAACACATACTCGTGATATTTCAAGCAGCCCCACCTGGTAAGTCAGAGGATTTGATTTCAAAATGATCAAAATAAACCATCACCTATATTGTTTTTCTTGCTTGGCCAGCTTCTGTTTAAGATTATTTAGGACATCTTGAAGTCTGAAAAAGAGGACATAAAAGTCTACATAAACTTTTACAAGCCCATGTTTGCAAGTAAAGAGTACACTATATCTGGATACTATACAAACCTGGTGATTTTACGTTTCTGTTGTGATTTTGTGATAGTGTTTTCCTCATCACGTTTCTTCAGCACCTATTTAAAATATTAAGTAATTGTTTAATTTGAGCATCTCCTGATGTTATAGCCATCCTGTTACTCAGAACAAAGTTCTGTCTTGGTCACTCAAGGAACTGAAAGGTTAACAGTGCAATAATTATCTTTACTGTTTCTAGAAATGACTCACTTGAAAGTTATACTCCAGCTTTTCTTGGTTTAACTGGTATGTGGCTTTCATTTGCTGTAGCTGTTGTTCCAATATCTAGATTAGAGGAAATTTGAAAAGTAGATTGATCAACTGCCTTCCTGAACTTATCCTTTAATGGCCTGTATAAACTACTGCCTGGCTAGCTCAGATTGTAGAGCACCACACTGATGTGCTGTGTTCTTCTCCCTGGACGCACATTCTCATTATAAATAAGCTCTGCAAACTAGGCAAAATTGATAGCTGTCCTCGTTAGTGAGAGATCCAGGATTGATTCTTAGCAGTCACAAGTTTTTTTCCAATTCATTCTCTCAATCTCCTTTTACCCTTTTTGCACTGACCTTCTTCCTTCTTCTTCAAAAGCAAGACATGTGTCTTTTTAAATTTTACCCAGAGCCATAACTGTTTATTGTGCAGTAATCATCAACATTTAAGAAGCCATTCACCAGAGTGCATATGAAAAAGTGTTTTGAATTCAAACTGTGTGGGATCAAACCAGTTTTAAAAAAAATTAAAAAAAGAAAAGAACCTGTTCTATTAGTTAGGCTACTCACCTGTACATCTGTCTCCAGTTTGATCTTCACCATGTTGTATTCCTCTGCGTCCTGGACTCTCAATGTTTGTAACTGATTTTCATGGTCTTCAACTCTTTTACGTCGAGAATCCATGTACTCAACCTGTGGTTCAATCAAGTCAAGTTATTACTGAGAGTGATGTCTGTTCTTTTAAGTCAAAATGGTTATTTCTGAGTGAATTTATTTCCTTAAATTACAATCTGAAGTTATTAATACCTCTTACTTCTTGGGTTTCAAGGTTGTACTGTAATTATAGACCAAGTTTTCCATTTGGATTATATTGATGGCATAAGTGCACAGCACACAGGCCATGAATCTGAGCACAAAAAATTAAGGTTCTGTAGCAGTACAGACTGAGAAAGCTATGCTAGAAAGATATTCATTTTTACTCTGGGTTCAAACAGAGGGGGAAATTTCACTTCCATTAAACTTTTGAATTTAACTGGCTGTATATTGAAATATGGCCTGCAAAATTGACCAATCACAGTGCATATACTAACAGACATAATAAGTTATGGTAATCTACCTCCTTGTCACGTCTCTGTTGCATGGAGGTGTCCCATTTCTTTCTGTTATTATCAATCAGCTCACCTCGTTCAGTTACAAAAGCTTTCTATAACAAGGTAAAACAATTAAAAATAAAAATTAATTCATAACCATGTATTCATTAAATCACATATCTGAGTTATAGCATAGAGCTTTAGCTGCCTAGTTCGCTCAATTTGTAGAGTACTGGACTACTCTATGGGAGGTCAAGGTTTCAAATCCCAGACCAGAACCACATTTAGGGTCTTAAAATAACTGAGGAGAATATGCTGTCTTTGCTATAACATCTTCGAATCATTAGACATTTAAGTCTTCGTCCATAAGGATGACAAATGATATTGGAGAATTTGATGTCAAATCACACAAGATCTTTCCTTGGATACTGACTCTTTCTCCTTGAAAAGTTATTGATATTGTAAGGAGAAATTCCTTTTTGGTTGCTCTTGGGAAAGAAAAGGTTGAGGAAATCCCAGAGTAAATCTTACAAACCTCAATCTGAGTGAGTTCCTCTCTGTAAGCTTTTGTCAACTGTTTCATCTGTTCTTCCATTCTCTCTACCATGAGGTCAACATCTTCAGCCTTTGAACACAGAACATGAAATAATTAGGGTCAATACTTACAGAGCAATTAGAGAAAACAATATCTAGAAAATCTTCTCTTAACTGTTTAACTCCTCGATCTGATTGTCAATTCTCCCCTTTAGCTGCTAAACATTCTCTAGCAAATTAGTTATGAGAATTTGGTGTGAAATCAAGATAACAACTTCTACCTGATAAGTTTGAGTATTCTCATTACCAGTTTGTGGGATAATGTATGATTATCATAGGGAGAAGTTACATGTTAATCACTTCTGGGGGGTTAAAGGGTTAAGCCTGCAAGCCCAAATTATCAGTGTTTACACATGAGCATTTCTTCATATGCAGAAAAGAATGAGGTCTTTGGAAATGTGAATCTGCGAGAAGTCTCCAAGGGGCGGAGCCCTGATAACTAGTGCCAGACCCCTAGTAAAACTATCTTTGATTTGTCTCAAATCTTTCTGCAGACAGAGAAACCTAGGTCCTGGAGCACAAGCCAAACTTCATGTAGTTTTTGTTACATCATTCAGTCTTAAATGAATAAAAATATTTGGTAACTCACAGCTTTTTTCAGGTCTTTCACGTACTGGTCATCTTTGGCTTTAAGCTCCTAATAAAAAACATTCAAGTCATAAAAATTAACAAAATGCTATAAACTTATCTCCACAAAAAATACCTTGAAAAATAGCAAAAGAAAAAATTATTTACCTGTTGAAAGTCATGGATAAGCTTATTTTTCTCATCTATCATACTGTCACAGGCACCTTTTTGCTCTGTCAACATCTAGAATTGAAAATAACATGAAAGATTATTTTCACACTATAAAAATATATAAATCTAGTTTTACTTATGGTACTTAGCCCTCTGAACCCTAGCATCAGATGCATATTCTCCATACTGTTCTCTATACATTTCCTAAGGTGCTGCCATGGAGAATTTGTTTAACGATCAAGAGCTGCTTTGGTTGGTGATCATTTTTTCTATTTTTGTGACCTTAATGTGTAATGCAATGTGTGGAAGTGGTGTGGGGAGAAATTAGATGCTAATCACTCTTATAAGTTGAAATGTTAATCAATGTTATTTCTGTATGAATTTAATAAATTTTAATGTAAAACACACTCACTGCATTCAAGTCTTGAGGAATTTCTTTGGAAAGAGCATACTCCCATTTCTTAGTGATCTGAGGAGAAACAACTTCAAAAAGTAAGACACACTTGCCATATCTACCAAGAGTACTAAATACAGTGCACTAGACAAAATTCTGGTCAGATGGATTTTAACCCTACCTCCTCAAATTTTTCAGTAGCAGACTTGGCCTCGGCTTCAAGCTTCTCATTTCTTCAAAAAAAAAAAATAGCAAGTTTTGAAACAGAATATTATCTTCAATACAATCCATTTGTTAATACATGTTCTTCTCCACGCACTTGGGAAAATTGATACAAAAATGTACCCACATGTAAATAATAGTTAAGGAGAGATATTTTTAAAGAGTTTTTTTACCTTTGCCTTCGTTGCTCTTCCTCCTCAAGTCTTCTTGTTGACTCTCTTGCATCAGCTGCAACATGGACATTTGTGACAAGTTCCGTGCCATCAGATTTCAGTTTCACCAAGCGCTGTGTAAAACAAAACGAGGAAAGTTCAGAAAAAAGACATTGGCATTTGTTTTTCAGCTGGAATAGGAGCAGAGACATTAGTTTTGTTCCTGTAGCAGATTTTATTCTGGTGTTGTTGATCTTTCAAATAAATTGTTAACCTGTCTACTGTCTTCCATTTGTTTTCGGCTTTTAAGTGCATCTTTCTCTGAATCAACTGGCTTCTTCTTCGCAGCATCCTCTCCACTTGCTTCCCTGATATTTAGAAAAAGAACAGAAAGTTTTGCAAGTTCAAAACATTTCCAACTTTTTGCAGGCTTGTGAAAGCTTACCTTCTCGCGGCTTCGAGACGTCTTTGTATCCGGATTCTTCGTGCAGCTATCCGTTCTTCTGCATTTGCAGAATCTACAGATGGTCCTTCTTCCTCGTCGTCTTCGTGGGAACTCATATCTCTCGTTTTCTCACCAAATTTTTAACACACAAAATTGTTCATAATATGTTCAATATTACGGATGTCAGTATTTATGCGTTGCTACCTTGGTAACCTGGTGATCTCGCCTAGTGTCCAATCTTTCTCGTAGTACACGATATGTCCTGGGTTCCATAGACGAGCGAAATGGCGACTTCGGGGAGTCCTTCATTTTCGGGAAGTGTCCAAAGTTTTTCTTTTTCTTACCTTGAATGATCCGCAAAAAGCAAGATAAACCATGATCAAGTATTTTGTGTGTATGGCTGAGGAAATTTTACGCATCATCTTGCCTAAAAGTCACCCGTTTTCCACATAAAAATTAATTTGTGTGGCTAGGATTTTGTGTGAAGTTTGCATATTTATTTGTTGTTATTGAAATTGATAAGGCCACGTTTCAAAGTTGAAAGCATATTCCTGATGTCTGAAGCTGATTCAACGATGCCAAGAACTAAGAAATCTATTGAACACACTGGATTTAAAACGATCGAGAGCATTGGCAAACTTGTTCTGCATCTCATTCTTCGGTTTTGGAGAGCGTGCAGTGCGGCTATGTTAACTCTTCTTCTTCTTTATTGGTTATACGGAGGAGTTGTTAGCTTTTTGCTGTTAACAGCAGCAGTGTTTGGTGCCTTATACCATTATCAAGACACTTTGCTTTACTTCCCGGAACAACCTGTCACAGCAAGAGTGTACGTTCAGAACCCCGCTATTCTGGGTTTACCATTCGAGAATTTGTTCATCAAGACGCAAGATGGCGTGAATATTAATGCTATATTTATAAAACAACCGCCTCAGTTTCAGAGCTCTGTTCCAACCGTGTTGTTTTTTCATGGAAATGCGGGAAATGTTGGCCACAGACTAATTAACGCAAAGAGCTGGCATAATTACTGTGGTTGTAATGTGATGTTGGTGGAATACAGAGGGTATGGAAAGAGTGAAGGCTCTCCCAGTGAATATGGTAAGGGAGTTGATAATGTGTATCTACCACCATTGAGAGTTTCTAAAGCTGATGTTTAACCCTCTGCTCTGATGAAGGCCTAATGCTGAAGATACCGTCTTTAGAAACTCTTTACAGTGGCTAATACAATATTATCAATAAATTTAAAAAAACAAACATTTCATAGTACCCCCACTGATGCAACACTACAGTTTCTTTAGAATCCTACTCCATTTAACCTTTTACACCCTAATATCAGTGTCCATATTCTCTCAACACTCTTCACACATTTCCTCTGCGGCACCAAGGAGAATAACTTCTTTTTTTAAGTTGTAGTTTCATGAGACGTGTGTGTATTTCCGTTGATGGGTTGATTTTCCATGTGTGAATTTTTTTATACCTAACAGGTTACTGTTTTACAAGCACAAGTGATCTTTAACTCCTTCACTTGCAGATCTCATCAGTAATTCTCCTTACTGACTTCCATACAATTCTACTTGTGTTACTTCAGAGAATTTGCTATTGGGTCAGCAAATAATCCCCTTAATTGATGTTCATCGTTATTCTCATTACATGTCTGCTTAATATTGTAATGATGTTGTGAGGAGAAATTCTGCCTCGATCACTCATGGGAGCTAATTAAAGGGTTAAATGCTGTGTGTAATTCTTTTTTCATCGCAGGGTTTGATTTGGATTCAGAAGCTGCCTTTTCTTATCTGTTGTCACGGACTGATATAGACACAAATAAGATTGTTATATTTGGACGTTCATTGGGTGGGGCTGTGGCTATTGCTCTAGCGTCAAATGAACTTTATTTGGACAAAGCATTTGCTTTGATTGTGGAGAACACTTTTACAAGTATTCCAGGCATGGCAAATCAACTTGTTAATGGCCTTGGTAAACTACCTTACTTCTGTTTTAGAAACAAGGTAATTTAAAGAATGGTTTTTAGCCAAGGAGTAACAACCTTTGTTATATCTCTTAGTTAGAATGTGTGCTATGATTGGTCAATTGAGCAGGCCGTATTTCACTGCATGCCTTAATTACCCTTTAATTCCCAAGATCTTATTATTAATTCTCCCTTCTGGCTGCCACACATTTCCCTGTAAATTAGTTACAAGAATTTGGTGTTTGATCAGGGTAACAACTTCTCCCCAATAAGTTTGAGTATTCTTATAACCTGTTTTGCTGGGAAATGTTTGGAAATTATAGGGAGAAGTTACATGTTAATCCCTTCTGGGATTTAAAGGGTTAAAGTCTGTTTGAACTGAAATCTTACCCCTTTATTTGAACTCAGAGACATAATAAATATATTACCAAACTCATGTTCTCAGTTTCTACCTAATCTTTTCCCTCAGATTTATAGCCCAGGCACTTCATGCATGGTCCTTAGCTCTGACCAAGAGTTAATCCTTGAAATGTTAACAAAACTGAATTATCATGCAATAACCCTACAGATAAAGCACCAGAATTTCCTTCAACTTTTATTTAATTTTTATACTGTTTGACATTTATGCCTTACAGTTTGATTCCTTGAAGAAGATCCGTAAGTCAAAAGTTCCAACCCTTTTTCTGTCTGGATTGGCTGATCAACTTATCCCTCCAAGAATGATGACAAGCCTTTACAAGGTTTGTTTTGATCAACCATGATCTTCTCTTCACAGTACTAGTAACAGTCTTTGTCATAAAATTGCAAGAAAGTCCAACATGTTTCTAAAAGTTTACGGGACACACAAAAGAGTTGTGATTTTTGTAGCTTTTTTGAAGTGGAATTAGATGTCAACTAAACATTTTGTTATACTTGAACAGACATCAGGATCCTGTCTTAAGAAAATGGAATGCTTTGATCGTGGAACACACAATGAAACATGGCAGTGTTATGGGTACTTCGATGGAATTGCAAGATTCTTATGTGAGGTACTTGCTTGAAGACAATTACCATAACATAATCTTATTTTTTAGCTGACACACTTTTCAGGTGGAAGAGAACCCACATCAAAGGATGCAAATGGAATAGAATGATTTTGCTCAAGACTGGCTGTTCTTGTTCCTCTGTTTAGATGGTGATTTGCTTGCATGGTGCTTTGCTGATCCAGCAGTGCACAATATGCATAGTGCATTATTTACTGGGTGGAAGGTCAATACGGGACTAACATTTTTGTTTGCACCAACTTCTCATACATGTGTCATGTCAATTATTGCACTGCCTCTCTCTGGAACTGACAAAACTACCATGGGTATGGGGGTGCGGCAATAAAATCTCCTCTCATGTGAGGGATGGGGGCTCAATAATTTAGCCCCTCTCTAGTAGCGTGAGTGAAAATGTCAGAGACAACTCAGGGATTCACAAAAAGGGCAAGAAGGGTGGGTTAGGTAGTTCTTATTTCATGATAGGAATTATGTTTTACCTAATGTTATGGTTTTATGTGATTGATTAGTTTTCAAATAATCCAGCTAAGAAGTGGATTGGGCACTCCTATTTCTACTTTTGATTAAGTTTTAATAATTTTTGTTGCACACACTGAATATTTCTTTTTAAATTCATTCAGGTCCATCAAGCTAGGGAAGCTGGTGTGATTGGACCACCAATTTTAAATGAGAACTCCAATGGCCTTGGAGGCTCCTCCACCTCAGCTGTTCTCAATGTACACAGCCACACTGAAGACATTTAAATCAAAATAATTATGAAGAAAATACTTTGGTTGTATGAAATATACAGGTAAAAGAAAACACCAGCCATAGATTAAGGTAGTTTGAGACACAAATTAATTTTGTGTTCAAATGAAATTGGATGGAGGGTTCGAATTAGCTTGAATTGGTAGTTTAACAAGGGAAAGTCTTGATTAAAAATTATTTAATTGGTTGAACATGAAGAGCTGTCAGATTGGTTTTGCATATAACATGGCCAATGGGTGAATCGTGGAAGTGTCAGTGGAGTCCAAGATTCTCCACATGATATGACTTCCATCTCTTGGAATTTGTGTTATTTTTACCTTTGTCTCTGCATGTAGACCTAAGAGAGGCCTTGTTATTCTTTTTCCTCCAATACCTCAGAGGGATTGTTGAAAAAAGGCAAGAATTTTACAATCTTGCAATTCAACTTTTCTTCCTGGGTATGAGTCAAAGCAATAAAGAAATACAGGGAATGTGTCATAGAACTTAAGGTTGAAACTCTTTTGTAGTATACTAGCAATTCTAGACAAGATGATTGTACATAAATACCAACACATTTTAAGTTCTGGCAAACCAAAGGCTTCACTTAAATGGATTGAATCACAGTTGAAACAACAGTGAAACATGAGGGAAATGTGCCCCCTTAACAAAATTTGGCCACATGTTTTAATGCTATGCGTTAAAACAAAAAGGAAAAAGTAGTCATGAGGACTTTTGAAAAGCTCTGATTTGTCTGTCAGAGTTGTACACAAAAATTTTAACCAAAACCAACTGAATTGCATCATGAAATCAGTCTTGAACTCTTCATAAATTCAAAGAGAAAAATAAAAAGAAAAAGTATTTGAAAAATATATTTTTTTAATTGGGAATCTACAAAGCAAAGCTTCCATCATAAATTACTATTTAAAACTCAAGCATTTGAAAAAACTTTTGACTGGTCACCCAACCTTTAAAACGCTGATTCGCAGAGCATGCACATCTCATCAAATCTCACCTCAACTAACATTAAAGAAGGAAAGAAAAGCTGAAGCGAATCTGTGTACAGTTGAGTGAATTTACATGAAGCTTATTTACAACGATTCCTACCCAGCCTGCTGGGGAGGAGAAAAGTTTCCACTTGCGGAATCTTTTGCGTTTTCAGTAAATGAGATCATTCTCCGAGAGTAAGCCGTAAGGCAGATAGTTTTTTATGTACTTGTTCTTTAAAAGTGAGATCACAGAGATCAAGTACCATAACACTTAATAATGAAGAGCAAAGCAAGCAAATCTATTTCTTATAATTTTTTTGGACTAGACAAGTTCGTTGGGGAAAATTCGGTTGACGGGTAAAAAAGTAATTTTCCAATGTTTTTATCACGTTACGTTAAAAAACCTATCAGCCCCATACCTAATCAACTTCTAAATCCTCAGTACCATTTCATGCGTATGAATTATCCAGAACAGTGCCGGGGTGATCAAAACAATCTTAAAAACCGAGGTACAGGAAGATTTTAAAAAGTTGAAAAAAGACTTTGGTCGGCTATTTTTAACGTAATTGTAGCCATGGTTACAACTCATTGGATCATGTGATAATTAGACACTGGAGAGTGGTACCCAGACTGTCTTCTTCTGTTGCTCGTCCACCATCTCTTGAATCTGGGAACAAACGTTGCTAAGGTTGCTTCCATGTACGGTACCTAGAAAATCAACACAAAGGAAGTAAGATACATGCACCACGCGAAGAAAAATGAAAATACAGTATTGAAAAGAAATACGTGTTTTTTTATCCACGCTCACAACGAACCCAATCGACTGTTACACGCGCTATCAAAACAGCCACACCTTGCCGCTTTTCAAAAATTATTTCAGGAAAGAAAGGAAATGCGCCTCACACTATACTTACCATTAAATAAGTGCTTCAATTCTCGTTCCATTTTACCAGAAGATTCGAATAGTTCCTTAGCGTGTCGAAGACTCATCTTCTCTCTAACGTACCGACCGTCTTTGTGATCTCTGTTTACAAAGAGAGAGACAAATGCTTGGATCAACTTCACAGCTTGCAATGTACACAATGGGATCACTGTTATTTTTCAGCCTCTTGAGGATTGAAAGATTTCATCTACAGAAGGGAGGGGAGGAAAGCGGGCTGGTGTCGATGAACGGAGGTTATCAAAAGGGGGAGGGTTGCAAGGCCTTCTAGGAGGGCTACGTCTTTTTCAGATAGTACCAGGTATGGGGGGTGGAGGGGGGGGGGGGCCCCTTAAAGTTTTTTCGGTAGAAATTTTGGAAGGGCATAGAAGAAAAAATACAAAAGGTGGAAAAACGTTGTATCAGCCCACTTTTCTCTAATAAATGCCAGGTCTCTTCCAACGAAACGTCACGAAATTTGGGTTGCGTTTATGCGACGAAAAAGCGATAGTATCCTCGGTTAAAATAATCGCCTAGAGTGCATTTCTATTGATATTGTAAAATTTAGTGAAAACTTGCTCAGGAAGCACAGCTTACCTGATGTGTTTAGGTGATTTGAATTTAACAAACAAGATGATGGGATAGACTTGTAAGGCATGTAGCCGTTCTACCGCTGTCGGACTGACATCCAATAAACAGTGCTGAGAAACAAGGAAATAAGGTCAGGTTCATTACGAGTCAGAGACATTCCTCGGCCAATCACTACTCTTAACAGCGTGACATCACAAAAACGGCTAGGAGGGACAATGATGGGATGTCACGCAACGATCTGCGTTGTCCTCGTCGCCCCTATCGTCTTTGTTGCGTGACATATTAAAAACCGTCGCTTGGAAAATACGCGTGTCTCGTTTTTTAATGTATTTGGGTTGCCAAGCCGAGCACATGGTGGAACAAAGCGTGGAAATTCTCTCACGAAAATTGCCCACCCCGAGATGATACATAGGAGCAAAAGCGATAAACTGGTTATTTAATTCTTACATTCTCGTCATTCATCTGCGTTCTCATCGTAAATGTCGAAAGGGGAAATTCGATCTTGATCAAAATATTGAAGATTCAACCTCAGAAAACGAGGGTGCAGCTAAGGGGGCATGTAATTACCACTCCTCCCTCCCTCTAATTTGAAAAATAGTCATGCTAATCCATGGCATCCCCGAGTGTTGCTTAATTTGAACAGGAAGGTGGTCTAAAGACCTCAAACCCACGCCACCCATGGAAAAACCTGCCTACCCCTCCCCCCGTAAACTAAGCAGTTTGACTTTCTGTTACCTTGTCAGTGACTTGTTTGATGGAAGCCATTGTGGTACAGGACAGCTGGTGACCTTTCCAAGCGTAATCGACAAATGTACCATCTGCTATTCCTTTTTCGACCTTCTCCTCTGGCAAGTTGACAATTTCTGAAATAAACAGTTACAAACACCAGTCAGAATGGCTCAGGCGCATTTTGGTTGAGTGCCGTGAAACGCAAACCAGAGTTGCTACAAAGCCAATCGGAGGGAAGAAAAATATCATTATGAGCCGATGGAAACTCGGAGAGAAGCGCGGGAAAACGCGTGCAACCGTGTCGCGGACAGTTTTAACTTTACATCTGATTGGTTGAGTGGTTAGCACGAGTTTTCTCAGTGGACCAATCACAGAGCCCTTTAAGACGAGATCAAGGGAATGTTTTCCACTTCAATACCAACTTCTATACCCTTTATGCGATTATGCCTTTCATTCTCATCAGCTTTTAACTTACTAATGATTAGAGCAAGTAAGAGAGAAATTAGAAAATGAATCAACAAGGAAAATAAACTGACCTGGTTTGCACTGGACGAACTTGTAGGGGACTTCTTCGCAGAGTTTCTCGTACAACGCATCCACTAACGGGCCGAACAAAATCACTGCTCTTGGGATATGACCTGAAATTCAAACGGAAAAAATGAAAAACGCGGCATTTTTTAAGTATTTAGGTAGTAATAGTGGTACACGCTCTCTAGAAGTGAAAACACATGTGATCAACTGAATCAAGAGCACCTAGTTTAGTAAGTTTAAATCTGAACTTTAATTTTGCTGCCTAGTTCCTCTTTTATGGTTGCGTGGCTTCGGCATTCACGTTTGACACTTCACATCGACTGATGTGTGTCATCTGTGCTTTTTAACTTGAGCTGGTTGTCCTGTGCTGCTGGTCATGTTGTTGGCTTTCGAGTAGCTGTCGCGCCCAAAAGCTTCATCGAAACACAACTCTAACATTACCCTTCAATACTCATACAGGATAGCAAAATGTTTGGTACTGCTAGTCTAAGTAATTCTACACTGGCTTGCACTTACTGTCTAGTTTTTCCACTGTCTGGTAAGAAGCTATACCAAGATCTGAAAGAAAAATTTGGAAAGAAAAAGTTACCTCCATTTCAAAAAGAGCATATGGCTTGCGTATCGTAAACCCAAAACCACAAGCAATCATTCAATCCCAGGGGCCAATCAGAACGAAGAGCATTATCATAAGGAGCCAATAAGAGCTCAATATGAAAACACGTGAACTACTTGAAGCGCGGGAAAACGCGGCTGAAAAACTCGCGTTTGCTTTTAGTGCTAAGTTTGATTGGTTTAGAGGGCGGCACGAGTATTCTGGGCCAATCACAGAGTAAAGTTAATCACCTCCAATAAAATGCTAAAAGTTGTAAGTGTAGCTCCCATTGCGTGCCTACATTTTGACGTCAACATCCGGGACATCGGCCATGTGCCTTGTCGAAAGAAAACTTGTCGTCGTATTTGTACTGATATATTTTGCTAACCAAAATTGTCGAGTTATTGTCAGTCTAAACTCGAAACAGTCGGTAAGTTCTCCGTTATTTCGTGTGTATTGTAATTTCACTCACTAAAGGTGTAATTTCTGTTCGTAGAAAACCTACCCTATTACCTAACTGGATGTTTATTCGGCTTGGTTATTGGAACATTTATAGAATTTTCATTGGAATACCTGTACATAAATGGTTTAGTTTTCGCTTTCGAGTCTCACGTTCATACCTGTACAACTGGTTGTAATGCTTGTAGCAGAGTCACTGCCCTCACGGGAATGATTGACAGACGAGCCATGAGTTCCTTTCTTACTTCGCCTAAAGAAACTTCTTCTTCCACTTAGTTTATACTCGTCTCCGTGAACTAGCGCTAAGCTCCTACGCAGCAGAATCTCCTGCTCGGCTCTGAATAAAAAAGTATAAAAGAAATAAATTTTGCGAAGCATATCACATTGTGGGAGAAGCGATGGCCCAGTGATTAGCGTGGTGGACACTAAATCAAGCAGTTTAAATTATTTTTCCTGTCTTTCAAACTCGTCACTATACAACACTAAAAACCAAGATTAAACGGAATCATAACACGCACCACTTCGCGTGAGGAAGGTTAACGTGCTAAACATGAAATGTTAAATGATATACATGGCGTGAAATGCAAAGCGCGCAAAAGAGCAGATAACGTAATACAGAGCGTGATTAACGCTTAACACGTGCGCACGTGCATTAACTTTCCAAAACACGCAGACCCTATTCCTGCTCAGCTCTTC